ACTAAGTATGTAGGTATAAAACGAAGACAAGCAGTTACATTACAGCAGCATCAAGAAGTAGCCTTAAGAAGTAGTAGCACAGGAAAAGCTTCTCGGTGATAGGCATCATTCACTGTGTAAAGGTGAAAGGGCCTGAGGTAAGACTCTAGATGGGTTTCCTGAGCAGTGGCATATGGCCCGTCAAATACATAGTAAATAAGGTGCAGGTGTTGGCCCAAGACCAGGAAATTTACTGGTTATATCACATACCATATGCCTTAATACATTTTCCAACTATTTTAAAAATGCTTAAGACAGGATTTATAAAGAATAGATGTTTAAGCCAGGTGCTGGTAGCTACTCAGGAGGCTCATATCTAAAGATTATGGTTTGGAGGCTAGCCTAGACAGGAAAGCCCATGAGATCCTTATTTCCAAATAACCATTAAAAAGCCAGGAGGGAAGGTATGGCTCAAATGGTAGAGCACCAGTCTTGAATGAAAAAGCTAAGGGGTAGTTGCTCAGTTCCTAAATTTAATTCTCAGTGCTGGTGCATGCAAATATGTGTGCACGCATGAGCCACATGTGTGCACACACTCACACACACAGAAAAAAAAATTGAAGTTTACTTGGCTCATGACTCTAAAGGCTAGAAAATCTGAGAACATGTTGCTTCATCTACTCAGCATCTGCTGAAGGCCTCCTGCTGCACTGTACCATGATGGAGGAAAACACATGGTAGAGGAAGCATCCTAGCTTGCGTCTCTCTTCTAGTAATGCCACTGATCCCCATGACCTTGCTTATTCCTTTACTCTCCAAAGGCTCTCCCTCCAAAAAACAGATTCCCAGAATATGAAAATGGCCTAATGAACATACAGCAGAATAACTAGAAGACGGTATCCAACAAAAGGGACATACTACCCTTCAGGATGCAGTGTAGGCTCTATAGGAGGGACTACAATAAGGCTCCCACAGGGCCCCAACTGGAAGAATAAATGAGTCCTATAAGAGGTATTAGGGGAGGCTTTGTTCCCAATGACCCCAGAGATGCTTTGGGCTTCCTGTCCTCACACTCTCAGTTCTGACCTCAAAACAGGACCACAGCAAGTGACCCATTGAGCTATAAGCTATAGTTGCCACCAGGAAGGACCTTTTTGAATTTCCGATGTCCAGGGACCAAGCAAGAAGAGATGTTGCCATCTTGATAGATATAAGTTGACCCTGATAGACAAGAGGCAGTGCTGCTTTTTACAATAGAGACGGAGAGACTATGTATAGAACTCAACGACTCACACAGATGCCTTGATATTCCCTTAACTATAAAGAAGCATGTGCTACAACATAGGCCTGAGATGCTCAGATCCCCTCAGGAAAAAAAAAAGGTAAGTCACAAAGACCTTAAGAGAGTGTGGTAAGGATAAGTGTGATCAAAATACATAGTCAAGAAGGGATATAAGGAGTGCTAGTTGTGACTAACAAGGACTACTATGTGTCCCACTGAACTCCCTTTGGAAGAGAGCCCAAAATCTATGAAAGAGCCCTTTTCTAAAGCTATCTAGGCAAAGAATCAAATGTGTGTGTCACCAGGAGCAGTCACTGCTGTCCAGGTCATTGAATGACTCTGTGAACCTTCTAGAAAACCTGCCTGTGGAAGAGGACAGACAGCCTACTTCCCTGCCACACCTTAGCCCCTCTGACTCATGGGAGCACTCTGATCAAATCCTTGTTTGCGCTGGGTTGTGGCACCCTGGTATTATCACTTGGCAAGCAATGCCGGATTCCCCTTAGTGACTCCCCATCAACTTACCTGAGAATAAGAACCACACTTCAGTCTGCATGGATCCTCTCTCACATTTTTCTTAAATGTGCATCCTGTTCTGAAGACCCTATTGACTTCCTACTTACTGTATCCTTTTGCTTGTTCTTCACAGTCATTTCTCAATACATATTTTGCACACCAAATTCCTTCTTCATTTCTGATTCTTGGAGAATCAGAACGGATGCAGACTCAGGAGTAGTCCAAGACAAGAGGCAGTAACAGGGGAGGGGGGACAGTTGTGTATTCACTCACTCACTGATCCTCAGGCAAAGATCACTAATCCTATTTGAGTGGGGGGGGGAAAGTTTTTGCTTTACACAATAAGGGGGTATTCCAACTGCTGAAGAGTTCACCAGCGTGACAGGAAAACAAGCTGGCCTACAGAACTGTTCTGACTAGTGTAATGATTCAGGCATTTGAAACCTATGAGGGAATTATGCTCCAAGAAAGGCAAATTTAATCATAAAAGGAATACTGTCCTAACTTTGAATATATCAATAGCATGGTCTTAAAATATGGATGGGGGGAAAATTATAGTTTTTAAAGAAAAGTTAGCAAATCCACAATTATAGAAGAAGATTCACACCTGTCTTTCAGAAGTGATTATAAAAAGGTAATACCAGTGACTCATACCTGTAATCTTAGCTACTCAGGAGGTTGAGATCTGAGGATTGGGATTCCAAGCCAGTCTGGACAGGAAAGAAGAAAGCCCATGAGACTTGCATCTAAAATCAGCTATTTAAAAAATAAACAAACCAGAGGTAGAATGGTAGCTAAAGTGGTACAGTGCTAGCCTGGAGCAAAAAAATCTCAAGGAAGTGCCCAGGCCCTGAGTTCAAATCCCAGGACCAACACAAATTTAAAAAAAAAAAAGCTAATAGTTATTGAATATTTTTCTGGGTAATAGCATCCTTCTAAGTGCTTTGCATAGTCTAATCCATTTATTCCTCACAATAATCCCATGAGGCAGTACTACTGCTATCTTTTTCACAGAAACTGAGTCCAGAGGCCCTTAGAAAACTACTCAAAGTCAGCAGTAAAAATAACAGAATTAAGATTTAACCCAAAGCAGTTTGATGGTATTTTCCTTGTTTTCTTACAGGCTTAGCTATGGACAAAGATGTTTATCCTATTTTGCCCACAATTTCTAGTGATCATATATTATTGTCCTACCATTAGTACTAATAGAAACACTAACAACTGATTTACAATTCAATTTTTACTTTTAAAATTTTTATTTTAAAGCAGGCCACTTAGTCAGGTTAGTTCAAACCATAGCCTTCAATCTAGGTGAATAAGACAGGATCCTCATTCTCTAGAGATTTGGTCTGGCCCAGTGGGATAGGGTAATCTTGTAATCCCAGCTACACAGGAAGTAAAGGTAGGAAGATCCAAGACAGAAACTGGCCAGGGGGAAAAGTGCAAGATCTTGTCTGAAAAGTTAAAGATATGGCTCAAGTGGTAGAACACTTAGTTACCAAATGTGAACCCTAGTACTACCAGAAATAGGAAGGAAATATTTTTAGTAGAGAGCATAATAATTAAAAGTAATAATAATTAAGCCAGATACCGGTGGCTCACGTCTGTAATCCTATCTACTCAGGAGGCTTAGAGCTGAGGATGACAGTTCAAAGCCAGCCCAGGCAGAAAAGTCCCTGAGACTCTTATCTACAATTAACCACTCAAAACCCAGAAATGGAGCTTGGCACAAAGTGGTAGAGCGCTAGCCTTGAGCAAGAAAAGCTCAGGGACAGTGCCGAGGTTCCAAGTTCAAGTACCACACCAAAAAAAAAAAATTATAAAAAACAAATGAGTCAAACGAAAGAAAGATGAAATAAACAGAAATTCCGGCTGGAGCCTCGGGTGGGCAGGCACCTGCTTTGCAAGTAGGAATACCCAGAAAAGAAAATAAAGGGGCTGGGAAGGTGGCTCAGTGGTAGAGCGCTTGCCTTCCATGCCTGAGGCCCTGGGTTCAATTCCTCAGCACCACATAAGCAAAAAGAAAAAAAGCCGGAAGTGGCGCTGTGGCTCAAGTGGTAGAGCGCTAGCCTTGAGCTGAAGAGCTGAGGGACAGCGCTCAGGCCCAGAGTTCAGGCCCCACAACCGGACCCATCCTCCCCCCAAAAAAAAGAAAAGAAAGAAACAGAAATTGAAGAAAATTTACAGAGACAATTGGCAAAAAAATAAAGCCAAAAGATAGTTCTTCTTAAATGTAATTAAAATAGACAAACCTATGTCAAGGTTAGGGAAAAGAATAGGAATGAAATAGAGAATCTATTTATAGATGTAGTCATATATATATGAATACATATATACATATGCATATATGTATGTATATATATGTATATATGCACGTATATGTTTTGAGCAAGATGAGCAAAATAAAGTAACTTCCTAACTCTGAAGATAAAAGAGTAAAGTGAAGCGATCTATAATTACTAGAGACCTGGACAGTGGAGTTTCAAATATAACTGGAGCAGTTGTTGGCCCCCACAGTAACCCAATCACTTTCTCTCTTGGGTAGGGAATGCCACAGTGTCTTCTTGCACTTGAGCAGGGTTGGAGAAGGTCCAAATGCTGTATCTCCACCCTGCTAAAGGGGGCTGAATCTCAGGAACATAATTAAAATGACTCATAGAAGATAAAACTGCTCACTGACAAGTCAACCCTTCCTTCCTTCCCATCAATGTATGTACTCAGGGCAGTCACCTAAGAAGGCCTTTGCACAAAAGAATGCTGCCAGCCCTCCTCCCTAAGAAGGGAAAAGGCTGATTTTCAAAGTTTGAAACAGTCAACTTGAGTGTAACAAAGCAGCTTTAAAGAGATACAAAGTATCTTTTGAAGAGAGTGGGACCCACGGCAGGTCAAGAGTCCAAGATGCATGGGACAAAGGTGCAGTGTGGGGGACAAGGTCTGGAATGTTAACGTGGACGCCCCTGGCTGGACGCCCATGGGCTGGAGCGTACACCACACTAATTTCATGCAGGAAAATCCCCGCACCCTTTCTGATCCAGACCTGGGATTGGATCCAGGGGCCGCGCGTGCCTTCTCGCCTAGTTTCTGAACCCAGCACGGGCTGGGAGCCACAGTTCCGCCTTCTGCCTGCTTCCAGGCCGAGCCTGGAGCCACCGCCCTCCTGGGTCCGGGCTGCGTCCCGGAGTGCTCACGGCCCTCCCGGCCCTCCCAGCCGACAGCCACCCACCTCCTCGGCGTCCTTGCCCAGCGGGAGGCCCAGGTTGCTGAGCCCCTCCTGAAGCTCGCGGATGTCCACCACGCCGTCCCCGTTGCGGTCCAGCGTCCGGAAGAGGGTCTCGTAGCGCGCGGGCACGTCCGCATCCTGGCAGGCCGCGGTGGGCAACACGAAGCCCCGCAGCCAGCGCAGCATGGTTGCCGAGGGGCGCGCCGGGGTGCTGGGGAAAGTCACAGCGAGGGATCTGGGCGCGATCGGGACCCAGAGGAGGCCAGGCTGGGTGGGGCCTGAGGCAGTGGAGCCTCCGGGGCGGTGTTGGGGGCGAGGCTTCCTTCTGGCGAGGGAGCGAGGAAGCCAGGCTGTGCGGGAGGCTGGCGCGGGGAGTGGCCGCCCGTGGCCGCCCCCGTGAGGAGGGGCCGCCCAGCCCTGGCCCGGGAGGGAAGCGGTGGGGACCAGCTGCGCCCTGGGAGGGAGAAGGCGGGCAGGAAGTGGTGGCGGGGCGGGCTGGGTTGGCCAGGCACGGGGACTGCGCCCTGCTCAGTTTGGGGTAGCCCTGTCACGGAGGAAGGCCCCTGGAAGTCCTGGGCTTTGGTGTCCGCGTACTAATAACTCCGAAGTGATCATAACTCAAACTAAAGCCATCCCAGGCTAGGGGAGCTGGTGAACTGATCAAAGGTGGATCTGCCACCTGCTGGTAGAATTCCACGCACACTACAGGGCAGTTTTCCACGCATTAAAAACTAAGGAAGTGGCTGTATATTTGAGATGGGAAATCTGCTTGGAAAACTATAAGAATAAAGCTGAAAACATTCATAGAGCAAGTTAACAAAAAGAGAAGCGGGGGGGGGGGGGGGGAAAGAGGGAGGGAGGGAGGAAGGAAGGAAGGGGGGGGGGGGGGAGTTTCAGAAAACTCAACATCCATCCAGCGGCTACATTAGGAAACAGTGTGATCGGCACACCGCCTGTGCCAGAAACATCCTCAGGCTCCTTCCTCTCAATATGGGTGTGGCTCTGAGGCTTGGTGTTTATTACCTAGGTGAGACAGAACTTCCTCCTGCCACAGCATAGCATAAGGAGGGAAGCAATGGATTTATAGAGAAAACACTAGAGACCCAGTTGTTCAGCTGTGTGAATTTGGAGATGAAAGCATAGCTTGTCTGAGCGGCCTCGAATCGGTAAAAAGGAGAACCTGAATAGCTTTTTCCCAATAAGTACATGGCATATTGCATGAGGAGTCTTCATACTCTAGAGCACTCATCGAGTATTTATTGTAATAATTCCCAGTTCAAACACTACTGCTTAACAGAAACTGTCCTATTCCTGTGTTCTGCTGGGTGAAGACTTGGCATGGCTGGAGTTGTAATAACTGAGGTTTACACTCTTCCCCAGAAATTTTGAGTCATTAAACCAACACCAGTTATTCCCCCAAAAAAGCCAGAATTCATATTACCTTCTCCTCATACCATTTTATATGTTTAAGACTTACTGTGTACGAATCTAGAGGTTTTTTTGTTAAGGATGTCTGCTTAGTAAAATCATCTTACTTTGTTTCCAACTTCCAGTCTTGTTAAGAATTAGCCCATTCCTTTGGAAAACTTCACCAAGTTTTTTCTCTGACCTTGAAAATCTCCTTTAAGCTCCTACTGTGAGTGTTCTGTGCTTGAAAGAGGCTGCCTGCCAAACCCAGAAACAACCAAAATGATCTTCAATGGGTGAATTGGTAAATGACCTGTGTTACATGCGTACAATGAAGTTCTTCTCAGCAATAAAAACGAATGAACTGTTGGGAACATGCCACAGTGCATTATATAACTGGAATAGGAACAGAAAACAGATCAGTAGTTATGAGAGGTTAGGAGTCCGTGGCTTGACTATAGAAGAGCATGGAGGAACTTGGGTGGGTGGAACTGTCCTATAACTACATTCTAGCGATGGTTGCACCACTGTGTGTTTGCCAAAAATAGTATGAATTAATCTTTTATTTGTTACTTTTATTGGTATTATCTTTAACTAACTGTACAAAGATGGGGTAACCTTATTCTATGTGAAGAATCTCAATCAGTCCGATATTAATCATGGGCAAAACGGAATAAGAATGCTAGCTCAAAAGAGCACTGTGAGAGCTGGGAATGTGGCTCCGTGGTAGAGAGCTTGCCTAATATGCATGAAGCCCGAAGTTCAATTCCTTAATACCATAATACCACATAAGCAGAAAAAGCCAGAAGTGGTGCTGTGGCTTGAGTAAAAGAAGTTGTGGGACAGTGACCAGGCCCTGAGTTCAAGCCCCAGGACTGGCCAAAAACAAAAACAAAAAAAAACTACTGTGGACATCAAATACTAGATAAACATTTAAACTAAGTCTTATTGTTTACAATGTGGATCACAGAGCAGCAACATTGATGTCATTTAGAAACTAACTTCTCAGGCCTGTTCTAGGCCCGCTCCAGGCCTACTAGTTAAGAATTGCCTTAAGGGCCCTGGTGGTCATTTCATGAAGTGAAGCTTGAGAAGGGCTTCTAGTATAAAGTGGTAACTCCCCAGAGTGGCTTGCACACTGACTGGGGCTTATCTGAAGACTGTTACCTGTCTGAACAAGGTAAGAAAGTGGGAAGGATTTAGAAACTTCATAGCAATTTTGTATTTGTTGAACCCAATAATAAAACAAAGAGATCTCTTTTATTTCAATTGTTTAGGTTTTTTTATTTTTATTTTTTGTTGGTCACAGGCTTTGCTCTCAGGGCCTGGGCACTGCTCTGAGCTCTTTCACTCAAGACTAGTACTCTGCCACTTTGAGTGACAGCTCTACTTCCAATTTTCTGGTAGTTAATCAAAGATAAGAGTCTTACACACTTTCCTGCCTGGGCTGGCTTCAAACCATGATCCTTAGATCTCAGCCTCCTTACTAACTAGGATTACAGTTGTGAACCACTGGCACCCAGCTAACTTCCTTTTGGTTAAACAAAAAATATGTATGTAATATATTGAGAAACACTATATTGATTGTTAGAGCAATAAATTTTTTTCCAAGCCAGGCACTTGGATAAGGACAAGACAGGATAAGGACAAATATGGAAGATAAATCTACATTTTTAAAAATTAATCTGTAGAATTATAGGTCCTTAAAATATACTAACAAAAGATAAAGAACTAAAATATGATTTACATCCAGGTGTTACACAACTTTTTGTTTAAGATACATTTTCTTGTCCATATTCATTTACTGGGCACTCCAATGTAACTAAAATGAATCAATGAGAGAAATACATTAAAAAAATTATTTATATATTTCAAAATATATCAGCATCCTTTCCCAATAATAAAGCCAAAAGTTTGTACTGGACTTTTATAATTCCTGTAAATGATTTTTTTCTAAGTATCTCAGTCATACCTTTAAGTCTTGAGATTAATAATACTTGACGCTGCAAAAAAGGCCACAAGATAGTTTAATTTTTTTAATTTTGGTCAAAATGTACATACTCTAAAATTTACCACCTTACCCATTGTAAGTGTACAGTGCAATGACATTAAGTACAGTTACACTAGTGTGCACACATCTCCAGAGGTATTCAACTTGCAAAAAATAAAATTCTATGCCCAAATATTGACTCTGCATTCCTCTTCTCTCCAAACCTCCAATGACTAACCACATTCTACTCTGTGTCAATGTCTTCAATTACTCTAATTACTTCACATAAGTGAATCATACAGTATTTGACCTTTTGTAATTAGCTTATCCCAAAGGTTCACTCTATATTGGAACATGTATCAGAATTGCCTTCTTTTTAGGGTAAGTACTATTCCATGGTGCATATGTGTACCAGAGCACCTGGCCATACTTCTGTACATAACCATTTGTGTTGCTTCCACATTGTCCGCTGTTAAAAACATGAATAAACAGATATTTCCTTTGAAGTTTTTTTGAAATACATCCAAAAGTAGAACTGCTGGACTGTTGTTTTCCAAAACAGCTGTACCTGAGGTTCACAAGGGCTCAATTTTTCTACATCCTTACCAACACTTGCTAGTTTTCTGGGATTTGTTGTTGTTACCGTTGTATTGTTACTGTTGTTACTATTGTTGTACTATATTGTTCATAATAGTAATTATAGCATATATAAAGTACAATCTCCTGGATGTTCTAATTTGAATTTCCCTAATGACTAGTGATATTGAGCTATTTTTAAATGTGCTTATTAGCTATCTGAATATCTTCTTTGGAGAAATGTCTATTTGAGTTCCTTTCCCATTTCTGTTATTGGAGATGATACTGACATTTTAACTCAGGACCTTATACTTGTTAGGCAATTGCTCTTGGCCCAGGTCTCTAGCCTTCTGCTCATTTTAAAGTCATACCTTGTTTTTTATTGAAATTATATATTCTAGAAATGAACACCTTATTGGATAAATGATTTGCCAGTATTTTCTTCCATTCCATAGCTGTCTTTTCATTATTTTGTGTCCTATAGTGCATAAGGGTTTTACTCACATAACCTAATTTATCTTTCTTTTTCCTTTTGGTTGCCTACAGTTATAGTTTTGTAAACCTTAAGCAATTCTGTTGTCAAAATGTAGTGTTTTAAAAATTGTTACAGCTTGTTACAGAGGTTGACTCTGTAAAGATAATTTTATTATGTGTGTATACACAATATACTTGTGATCATATACACTTTCTAATTTTTATATTATATTTTATATTTTCATGTAAACCTCATATGTAATTTCAGTAAGATATAAAGAGATAGTGCTTCACAAGGCACCAACCTCCTCAAACCTCTATAAGGGACTCATTGTCTTCAGTTATGTGCTTATTACTGGAACAATGAACAATATCTGTAAACCAACGTTTATGGCAAAGCATTATAATTGTAACCAAAGAGAGAGGGGAGAAGCAATACAGATGTATAGGTATGCTTTGCTGATTGAGTTTAATTGACTTCCATTGCAGTATGTCAAATATTTAATTTGTCAAATGTTTAAAAGTCAATTTAACTTCCTTAAAAATCAAGACAAAGGCCGGGCGCTGGTGGCTCACGCCTGTAATCCTAGCTACTCAGGAGGCTGAGATCTGAGGATCATGGTTCAAAGCCAGCCCAGGCAGGAGAGACCGTGAGACTCCTATCTCCAATAAACCACCAGAAAACCGGAAGTGGCGCTGTAGCTCAAGTGGTAGAGCGCTCACCTTGAGCTGAAGAGCTGAGGGACAGCGCCCAGGCCCAGAGTTCAAGCCCCACGACCGACAAAAAAAAAAGAAAGACA